TTATAGTTTATATGCATATGTAATAGATACGATAACACGTAAATTGTATTATGAAACATAAAATATTGTTTCGTTATTGAGAGTGACAAATACGTTATAGAGAAGGAATTGTCTAATGGGTTGTTTAGCAAACCAACCATTATTATGTAATGTTTACGTTATATAGAGTTTTTCGTTGTAAAGAGTTTCGTTGTAAAGAGTTTTCACTGTAATATAAAAATATTAGTATTCTTTTAAATTCTTAAATAGGTACATTTGAAATTTTTTAAATGGATAATAATCAAATTTTGACAATACAACTACCACTATTCACTTTAAAAAAAAAAACAATTTGAAATATAGGACACACCACAAACTCAATTACTCGTATAACTAATGGCTATGAACCATATTGTAAACTGTAAATATTCTTAAATAGAATAAACACATTTTTCATAAAATATAATATATTAATATGTCTGCAGTCTTGGCATTTATATTTGACAAAAGATATTTGGTAAGCAGACAAACATTGAATAAGTAATACACCCTAAAAATGAAATTCTTTGAAAATGTTTTTTTTAAGTTGGGTTTTATAATTTAGTTTCACTGTTGGATGAGACGGAATGGAATTTTGATGTTTTTGTCAGTTTATTTTACAGGAGTGTGGAACATTTTCTGGGTGGAAATAGACAGATCGACAATTCGTCAATGTCTTCGTTGACACCAACAACATTTACAGATTTTAATAATTAATCATCATGTTACGTAAGGTACGTACAATTCTCAACCATATGCCTTCGTTGAGCAATTGACTGACAAGGGTACCGGTGGCCGGTGTATATTTTTTTTACAATTATCCCTAAAGTAGGTTAGAACCTTGGGGGATGCAGTGTTGAAGGTTTTATTCGACGTCTATTAACTATTTCAGTCATTGACATAGTATATTGAACACTTAATGAAAAATAAAATAAAAATCAGTGATCAGTCTATTACTATTGATTAGTAAGTAAGGTTGTAGTTTTGGGAATTAATATAAAACGCAATACAATTTGGTTTTTAAATTAAATTTAAATATAAGAAAATATTCTTAAATATTCTTCAATGTACTTCAAGTGTAATAATAAGAATATTTCTTGATAATGATATTAATATTTAGATAACGATTAAATAATATATTTTTCAAATGGTTAAAACTTAAAACCATTATTACCTACTACAATCTGTTAAGGAAATGATTTCTTTGAAATTTTGATATATTTAAATCAAAATTGGAACAAGTATAGTTTCTAAGTTCTTATAATATATTATGTACTAAGGATAATAATAGGTTTATAATATATAAATAAGACATAAGTCAATAGTTAAACCATATATGTAATATTTATCACTAAGTAGATAAGTAGTAGTGTAGTACTATCGTAATAATCAATCGGACAATTTTTACAAATAATAATAATAATGTGCTAATACATTAATATTAATATTGATTACCTACTATAATTTTCAAATCATCATAACTTCACATATAAGTAAATATAATTACTCCTCTCAAATGCCATGAAATAAAAAATCAAAGTATATTTTACAGTTGCGTAATTGTAGGAGGGATTGCAGGATGGATCCCCATGGCCTTTTTTTACAAATCATGAATTTTTATTACTTCATCTGTAGTAGAAAACTCACACAAAAAAGTCAAATTGAAAGTATTTTTTTTTTCTTATCACCTACCAACCTAATCCTAATGAAAATGTTTCACCATATGTTTATTTTATCATTTTATTTCCGTGAAAAAATGTTCAAAAAAATTTGGCCTTGTTTTGAGTTATTTATTGACATTTTCAATTTGCTTAGTTTTTTTTATAAATGTCAATAGACATTTTTTCGTTGGTCAAAATGAATGAAAATTAAATACAAAGTTTCTCATACGTTGTTATAATAGCAGTTGAGAAATACTAAAGATCCATAATATGCTATATGCATGACAATCTTTTTAAGTATTTATAAAGTTCACATTTTGACAAAATCTCAAAATGTTGCAAATTATTTTGTAGTTAAGAAATTATAAAATGTTTCATTTTTAGAGCTAAGGATTTAAATTCAAATCAAGGATTCTCGTAAATGGTTTGTGGATAATTGAAACTTTTAGAGTATATTATCATATTTTATACACATAATTATGACATTTTAAATTCCAATTTTTCAGCTATAACAGTAAAATAAATTACTTTAATCACAATAATATCATAAAATTGACCCAATAATATTATAGGCTGACAGACCGTCTTCGCTCAGAATCGTTGTTTGTAAACCATGATTTTATATCATTGAATTCAAGTTTAACACATCCATTACTGTGACTCTCTAGACATCTAATGTATACAGCAAAGCGTTACCCTCTAAGGCACTAACCCTCTTTTTTCTAAATGCATTTTGTTGAAAAACAAATTTGTGGTAACTGGTAAGGCAGAAATGCCAAAAGAGGGTGTAGGGCCAGAGCCGTCCACGAGTAGGTGGTCATAAAATATTCATGTCCCTACCATAAAACATTTGTAGTTACGGCACTGTAAGTATTTTGATATAGGATATTTTGGCGTTTAAGTGTATAGGTACTTAAAAAATCGAAAAACCAGAATCTGAACCAAACCTCGATTCGGGGATAAAATGGGGGTGAGCAATGTTGTATGAATCACCTTCACCTTGTTCAAAGTGCACTTGTTATACCTATACGTTATAAATAGGGCTTGAATTTCAATGCAAAGTACGTTATTTTTTGGGGGTGATCAAGGACAACAGGTACATTTCAAGTAGGTTTTCCTACCTATGTAAATCGTTTCATGTAACAGATACATCAAAGGCAGTGCTGCAATTACCGGGGGGCGGGCATGGCCACGCCCTGCTAAAAGGGCACTATGGGATTAATTTTAGGGCACAATTCCTGTGATTGGATACCTTCTGTGTTAGTCTAGATTCAATAATAATGAAAATTATAAAAATTAAAAAATATAAAATGTTTATCTATTATTTTGTTAACAATTTCTTATCGGTTTTATAATCAATTTTTGATTTCTCTGAAATTCGATAATATTATGAGGCTATGACGGTAATCGGAAAAAAAAAAGTCCCGAAGAAAATAAATTAAAATATATCAAAATCGATGAATAAATATGTTAAAATTGTAATGAAAAAGAAATTAAAGTTACATAAAAAATCATATAATTTCATAAAAAATAGAAGGGAGCTTACATACCTATATACTATATAGTGTATATTATATTTTAATATATATATTTGATTTTCAAGTTCCTTAATGAAGATCATATTTTTGGCTTTTGCTATAATTTAGTAATTTACTATTTAGTTTTAGTGTAATGATAATATGGTATATATCAAAATGTATTGATAATATAAAACGCAGAGGTAATTTTTAAAAAAATTTAGTTTGTTATAATAGGAATTCATTTTGGATGGTTTTTCAAAAATAGTGACTAATAAATATATACGAAATTACTATAGATACTTATAATTTGAACTTTGATTTGGAACATTACATAAAAACAAACGTTTTTTGGTATAATAATAGGTTATATAAATAAATAAAATATTAAATAAATAATTTAATTAATTAAATACCAATAAACAGGCCTTTTTAACAGCCGTAAGTCATAATATAAGAAAGAGGTATCTAAAGTAGGTACCTACCTCTAATTATAATATTACATTTTTATAACATTATTATTATAACTATATAGGAACAATAATTGTATTTATTATTGACTATTGTATTACATTTTATTATTTTATAGACTTATATTAAATTAAATTGTATTATATTTTAATATGTTATTTAAGTAAGTACTTAACATTTTTTATGATATTATATGATTTTTTATGTAACTTTAATGTATTTTTCAATAAACTTTTAACATATTTATACTTCAAATTTGATATATTTTCATTAATTTTTATCGGGACTTTTTTTTCTGCGATTCAGCCATGACATTGGTGATTGTACTGTAGTGTTTTATAACCATGGTTAAAGCACAGAATAGGTTTAAACTATTCTGTGGTTAAGGTATTTAATATGAACACTGATGTAAACAAATTCGAGAAATCATCCTACGATACATCACGGTTATAGTAAAATTGTGGTAGGGTTGAAAGCATTTTATTACAGGAGGTGGTATATTATGTACCGACAGTTGGGACACTAACACTTCTGCTGCCCTGGGGCCCAAAAATCTTAGTTGCGGCACTGATCAAAGGTAAAACTTATCTAATACTTACAGGGTCGGATTGGTTAGGCGAGCTACCGAAAAAATCTCGGTGGGCCGCTTACAGTTTGGGCCGGTCGTGTGAGTGTGAGTGAAAATAAATTCATGTTTAAAATACGATTGGCCACTTATAAGCTCGTAATAATTATAGACGTAATTTTGGGCCACTGAATATGTAAACGGGCCTATTATAGAAGTGAAAATCTCGATGGGCCGATACATACCAATCCGGCAATGTATACTTAATAATACATTGTACGAGTTTTTAGTGTAAATTAGGGAATTCAATATTACCAAATGTCAATATTGTTCTATAAATTAAAACGATGAAGTCTTTATTTACCTCCTACAGTCCTGCTATTATAGTATGTGGTGTCTTACTCAGACAAATATCAACCAATTGGTCAGTGTTGGAAATACATCGCGATCTCATTTATTTCCAGTACACTGTTTATTTATTGTGCGTGCCTAAGTATGGTATTTAGTTTTTGTGTTATTGTTAGATTAGTTAGATAAAGTGTTAAAAAATTCCGAAGGTTATACCATCGTATTCCAATCGGTTGCATATAGTAGCGTGCCAATAACATTTTTAAACGCATTATTGCGTTGAAAGGGCATTTTTGGTTATTTTTTAGAACATATTTTGTTGAAACTTTTTCGGGTGTTCAAATCCCAAGCCTTAGACTTATAAATTATAACCTAATCGTATAATACACCCCTGGACTTATAAATTATAACTCGATACTATCATAATATACCAGTGAAATCTCCGATCGTTGTCGTCCCGACGATTATCCCGATTATTTCGGCGGACGGCGTAATAATATTATATTTGTATAGTGACCCTACCTGGAGCATTGGCAGGAAAAAGCACAGGAACCGTCCGAATATCCAGTTTTGGACCAGCAACACCATGAGCGATATGGGCAGCACGGAAACGCACTCGACGATGCCCGTGACGGCCAGGTTGGCCACGTAAACGTAGACCGGGTCGGCCGCGTACAGCCGCTTCCTGGCCACGATGGCCAGCACGTAAGCGTTGCACAGGGCGCCGGCCATGATGAGCGCGCTGTAGCCGCACACGAACGCCGGATAAGTGTGCCGGACGGACGGCCGCAGCTGTGGCCGGTTGAAGTCGGTCGTGTCGTTCCGGAAACCCCGCAGGTAGTCGACTACCACGTCCACCCACTTGTGCGGCAAATCGTCCCACTGGTTGGCCGACTTCAGGTCGTCCATCGCGGTGCTGCAGTCCTACGCTCAACAGAATAACGGTCGTAAGTTAGCCAGTGCTCGTCAATGGCTCCCAAGACAACCGACCAGAGTCAGTGGCGGATCCAGGGGTAGGCAAAGGGGGAATTTCCCCCCCCCCTTCTAAGTGGTTTCCCTTTGTTGTACACTGTGTTTAGCCAATTCTGTAGCAAATGTATGTACTTTTTGTACTTTCACCCCCTCCGTGCCCCCGCCGAAATTAAGCCCTGGATCCGCCACCGACCTGAGTTGTGCGGCTATATGATATGGACACTTTGTACGGTCACACAGATATAATAAAAAGCGTGAACGGTTCGCACTAAGTATAGTGACAACATTCAATATGGCTTTTGTAATATTTCAGGTAGAAAAAAATGTATGTATACAGTCGAGAGTATCGATAACTCGAATCTCAATAAAACGACTACAAAAAAATTTCACTTACGCATTATTCGAGTCATTTACCTCAAATACAACTATACGAACTTCAAGGGACAAAAAAAATGTCTAGCTATCGAGCTTCGCCTGTAGTTTACATATAGAGGCACATAATATTATTTATAATTTAAATAGGTTTATGTATTGGTAGTCATATAATATGACTGTAGATTTCAAAAGTAAATTAATAAATAGTCATTAATATCATTACATACCTAATTTATATGTATGTACATATAAATTATAAATACAGAAAATTAAACCAACTTAAAAGTCAAATGTATGGCATTGTGGCAAAGTATATCAAATAATATTGTTGATTAGTTATTGTTTTATTTTAGTGATGGGTACAGGCTCTTGTACTCATTTTTAAAAACTATTAAATTTAACTTTGATGATTTAAAATTGTTTGTAGTGTATGACCAAAGCGTGTACAGTGTACTCCCAAATGTCACCAAACTAATACTGATCGTGATCGCATGAGATTGATCAACAGTTCTGAACAATTTAATCTCGTCTTTCAAAATATATTTCCCAGTTTATTTTCACCGTAAAAAAGTGCTCTAAATCATTTATTATCTTTATCACAGTACACATTTCCGTGATCAATTATTACAATTTAACTTCCACCGTACAAATAGTCCGCGGTACCTATACAAACCAAATAACAGACGGTAATAACTAATAAGACAAGTGTCCGTTTATACCGAATTGTATACCTACATCTTTTATGCCGGAAAGTTTATTACAAATTGAAAAGTTATAATTTACCTAGGAACCATCAATTGTGCCAGGAAAATACCATTACCGAAACTCAAACGTGTTATCCAATGTAAACACGGACAAATCAAAAATATTCACGATTCACATAATATATCATATAATATTAAGATAAAAGAAAAGCCACGGACGTTTTTCGTTATTTCACATTTTAATAGACTATTGTACAAACAACTAAATATTACTGCTTCGTGCTTACTGATCTTTTGGAAAAAACTGATTTTCGTAGGTACTACCTTTCCCTCCCCCTCCCCCCGTTCAAACACCGGGAATGGATGGGAATTGTTTAATACAATACTCAAGTATGTACCTAAGTCCTAGATATTCCGTTGTGATAAATTTCTTATTTTATCGCATAGGTATATGTAGTGCTGGCTCAATTGATATAAGTCAACAGGTGTACTTCAATACTATCCGGTGGAATTTATGTATAACCTCGTTGAATCCCATAATTTTTAGTTAATTGTTACACGCGTATCAGTGTATCTATGTAAACCTACGCTAGAATGTTCCACGCTCTATAGTATAGTTTATAATTTTATATTATGTGGCCTAATTTTGAATAAAAAAATATAAAAATATGTGATTATAATAATATTTTGGCTGGTGACCTTTTTTTTTTTTTTCTGGCAACCCTCTATGTGGCCCGCAGGATTGTAATGTATTTAAAAAGTGGCCCGCAAGATCATTTGGGTTGGCCATCCCTGCTCTATACCCATGTAAAAGTGATTCCTAAACTTCCTGAATCCATAGATAGCAGAGTATGTCTATAACAAAATACCTAACCAAATATCAAAAGTGTCACACTGAATAATTTGATACTATATACCAACAATCGTTTAATTGATGTGATTTACTCTCGAAGTTGAAATAATTATTACGATTGAAGATTAATTAATTAATTGAAGTTTTTCACAATAAATTTATTCTGATGCTGACTAACGTGAAGGTGCTCGTACAAACAATGTAGATTCGTGTCGGAAATGATCCTTATTCTAGTCATATGTCACGATGGCCTTCCATGAGCATAACGCAAGTCAAATAAGTTAATTCTCACGATGTTTTATGGTTATCCTCGGAATTGTGTATAATTTGACACTTGACAAATGTCCCTTACGGTTTCTGTATATAATATATATTATACGGAGTGGTCCATACAACGTAAGACGCACTAATTATTTTAGATAAAAACATAACACTTTTGAATATTTCTTTTACATAATACAGTGGGTTCCGTTTCATGTGGGCACGTTGGGACCAGCCCTGTTTGCCCGCATTAAGCGGTTGCCCATTAAAACCGAAATTAGTTAAAATAACAAAACATTTGTATTGGGACCAGACATGTTTGCCCACAATAAGCGGATGCCCGTATTAACTGGTGGCCACATTAAGCGGAATCCACTGTATTAAGTTTTTGGAAAAATTATTTTTTAAGTTAAATAATTCTTTTGAAAGACAACATACATTATTAGTTTCATATTCCGATGGACAATAATAATCAGAGTAATTTATTATATATCTATAAAAATCAAATTTTGGACAAGTATTTTATTAGTTTTAACGAGCTGTGTTTAACCTTTAAATAGGTATTTATAACTCATAACCCACTTGTCCTAAATTCATATAGAATCGTATCGAAATACCCCAAAAAGTATTCTGCTTTGAAATAAAAAATTTAAATGTTTGTTTTTTTAACAACTCAAAAGTTAAAATAATTTTAAAAAATGTTAATAGTTTTTAAAATAATGAGTGTCTTACATTTAATAGATCGCACGGTATATATAGCGAGGGTGATTCATCCGGCATCACCCCCTTTTTTTCTTCAATAATAAAGTTACTCAAATACCCCACCCAGGCATGGCAGATGCCTACGGGTGCTCACTTAAAAATTCTGCCAAACACAAACACTCACGGGTAAAAACTCACTGTTCCAAATCCTACCGGTCTACCACGACCACAATACAACCCCACAAACAGCTAATGGCCATAGATGCCATGCTTAAGGATTAATAAAAAAGAATAATTGTTATTCCAATGAATTATAATACTTATCAAGTTTTTATTATATTTTATATTATGTTACTATCTAAATACAGAGTCAGTTTGATACAATACTAGTTAATCAGCTTTTGAGATCGATCGTCATAGTCTACGATGCATAGATTTTACTTTTGATGCAAATAAAAATTTCAATAATTATGTAAGTACCATCATTATTTCAGTGAAAATTAAAATAACATTTAGCCAAGTTTTGACAATATATTAGATTCTGAGAGGAGGGATGAATGTATTGATTTTACAATGGTGTGTTTTTTTTTTAATTTTTTAATTTTTTTCTTTTTGGGTCTGTCATCCCCTTTTAGGACAGTAAAAATGCTTAGATTTTCTTCAACAGTATCTTTTCTGATAGGAAAGTGAATCTAGTTGGTATCTACTAATAGTTTTTAAAAGCGCAAGGGAAATTAAATGAAAAATTAAGGAAAAACAGGAATTTTTATGCAAAATTGGTTTTCGACAAAATCGTGTATCTCTAAAACAAATTACCGTACATGCAATTTTCACTGGTTGTTTATATAAGCATATTCTATACACGATAAAATTTTCAAAAAATATCGAATTGTTTTGAACTGTTTACGGACATTTTCAGTTTCCAATGTTTTTAGTTTGTTTGCTTTGTAAGAAAGCTTGAAAATTTAATACAATATATAAATATATTGTTACAATGACATTTGAAAAATATTAAAAATCCAGTAACAGTTTTTTTTTTATAAGCATTTATAGTTCAAATTTTGACAATAGGCGAAAAATACACGAAAATATGGAAATTGTTTTGAGTAGATATGAAATTCCTAAAAAAAAATTGTTTAAATGTAATACAAGATACCGTATAAGGTTATCCATTTACCCACCTTTTTACCTTGGGTATATTTTAGGGAAACTAAATACACTCGTGCCATGCTCATCCGAATTTGACGTTTAGTAATTAGAGTAAAAAGCATAAAGTTATATCTACTATTACGTTTTTAAATTTCGGTAAATAACAAGTATGAAATGTCTCATACAATGAAAATCCTGTAGGCTATTGAATATGTTAAGGATTTTGCTGTACAATAATTTAAACTCTCGCTGACTAGTTGAAAATAATACCTATGAGTTTGATTTTACCGTGTACAATAATACCTATTTTTAAAAGCATTTTTGAATGCATTTATAATAAATTATATTGGTATTTAGAGCATTATGTGTCAGCGAGATTGTAAATAAAATAAAATCATTTCCATTAAAAATTTGTTTTCTCTCTTATAAGTTATAGTCCATAAATTATAAACTAATATTTTTTCTGGTATTTTCCTTTGTTACGAAATGAATAAAAAAAAATGTTGTTTCTACAATTCTATTGCGTATATAACTAATATATTTTGTAACCTAACTGATATTAATGATATTATACATTTTAAATAGGTAACAATTGTATATACCTAAGTGATTATGAAGCTCACATATGTGATAATAGGCAGGACCAATTTTAGACTTATTAGTTTATAATAATTATTATATTTAAAAAAATAAACAAAACTTTATACGATTTTATAAGTTATATCAATGTATATTATATTAGTTGCTTCCAGAAGTATTATTATTATATGTTATTTTTAAATTAGCTTGCAGTCACCTTTATTGTATATTTATAATGACTTAAAGTTAAAGGTAGTGCATTAGTGCATAGCTTCAACGTTTTACGTCATAAAAATGATAAATGAGCTAAATGG